GCTCTGTGAACACAAATTAGTTAGCATAAATCAGTTAAATGACGAAAAATTAGGTGTCTATTTACTTGTGACCACTCAGTGTAGAATCCTGCTTTTTTAAACTTGTCATACAACTACTCCACTAGCTATCATGCAATGAATTTTAGACACTCATATTTAAAACAAATTATCTGTTGTTAAATATTGGGAAAAAACTGATAACGTATTTTACTACAGTGAAAAGTGGTAGAAGTGTTTTGTTTTTTTAAATAAATTAAATATTTGAATTTGGAGGTTCACAAGTAACATTTCTATAATTTAGTAATTTAATTTTTTGGTAAAAGCTTTTCATTTGATCCTCACATTGAAATGCTTTCAAGTCATAAACATAACATGAGCTGTAAAGTTAAGAAAACTGGTTCATATTTAAATAACTTGAGAATGCCCATTGCCACCAAACATGCTCACCCTTTCAGCCACAGAGGCATTATATTTGTTTATTACACTAAAGTTGCTGTTGCCCTAGTGTATTTTAATTGAAAGTCTATTTCAGCAACTGTGTATTAGAAACAAGGACTTCAGCCTATAATCCATAATGTTTTTGATGTTTTGAAAATAAGTTCCCCAATTAATGAACTCTGATATTTCTTTATGAACATCAATATTGTTGGTCAAATCATCTGTATTCTTGAGCGTGGTGTGAAAAATAATGTAGTTTCCAGCAATGAAAAACGTATCAACTTAACTGACCCATAATGTAGGCCTATAGTGAAACTAGTTGTGTTTTTTAAAATCTTATTTGTGAATTTTTTTTAGGACAATATAGTTTGACTGTATATAAAAAAAAAAATTCTTGAAGTAACTTTTATTTTCATCAACAAAAATTCAGTAGTTTCAGTATTCTTGTGGAAATTTGTGAGAAAAACCAATGAAATGGTAATAATTTAATTTTTAACTTGTTACAAGTTTCATACTACATTCTACACATGATACATTTTTAGATACAGCCTTTTAGGATTAAAAATATGCTTCATTACTAAATTATTGTACCCAAAGATGTCTATCATATTAAACAAATTGAAAATAGCAAGATTAGTCTCATATGAGGATAATCAGTTGGTTAAGTGTAATTGATTAACCACCCAGATCTGCATTTGCTTTTATGAATTGCAAGCTCTACAGCAACATTGAAGATATTTGATAATATAAAACAGCCATTGATTACATAGATAAGTCAATCTGTGGTCACAGGATTGAATCCCATCACTGAACATGTTTGCCCTTTCAGCTGTGGGGATGTTACAATATGACAGTCAATCACACTATTTGTTGGAAAAGAGTCCCCCAAGTGGTGGATGAAGTTGACTAGTTGCCTTCCCACTAGGCTGTCACTTCAAAATTAGGGATTACTAGTGCACATACCCCTTGGATAGCGCTGTGGAAAATTCAACAAAGAAACAAAAATAGACCAGTAATATTGTTTTTTAATTATTTGTAACCATGTAAAACTGAAGTTTATAGGTAGCTGCTATTGGTAGATGATTTGTATTTGTTTGTGACATTCTCTGTATTAAATTCCTATAATTGATTTTGTCTTTAATGTTAGGTTTCAAACAAAATTCATACTTGGGAGTCATTTGGGGTCATTCTCTCAATTTTATTGTGAGGATGTGTCATTTTTTTATGATTTAGAGTTCATCTATAAAAATACCATGAAATTGTTTTTATATTTTTTTTTCATGTTTTCTCTTTTTGATCATGAGTGTACTTTTATGGTTATTTTTTGTAACGTATAAGAAATTCAGTGGAAATTTTAAGATATAGAGTGACATGTTGCTGGATTTACTACATAAATTGTTCCAGTATCACTTATTTGAAATTTAACAGTGTTACTGGAGATGATAGTTATTAAAAAAATTTGTTACATTGATTAATAATTACATAGCAATTTGATCCATGTGGTGTAACTTAGTAAGTGAATTTTACCCCTTTCGTTACTGGTTGGGATCAGAGGGCATGTCATCATGTTTGTAGACTTACATTCAAAATTTTATTGTACTACTATTTTATGAATGTATGTTAATAGCTTTGGTATTAAACTGTAGATTATAATTCAAAGTTTAATATTATACATTAGTTAATTTCTTAATTTAAAACAAATTCCTAAATATAAATTTTTGTGTGCCACTTGGTATATTGAGTGCAGCTTTGGTTCGAATTAGATGTTCAAATATAAAGTCCATAGTTTTTTATGAAATAGAAACTCAAATTACTGATAATGACAAGGTTGATTTTAAAATAAGAACCTCCAATTTTTTCTATTTTCTGAGATATTATTATATTTAGCGAATCAAACATAATGGCCCTGCCCACCTATTCCATCTTTGAAATGCTTTTTTATGTACATGTACTTCGCTCTATGACATGTTTATAACCAATCGAAATCTCAGTATTTTCCCAAAATGGTTTTTTCAGCCTTTGCAAAGTGTATTCACCAGAAAAATCCTTTTTTCGTTGTAGACTTACAGAGAAAGGGTAAGATTAAATAGTGCTCAAAAAACAATATTTTTTAGATCCAAATACAGCTTATTGTTTCTCTTATTTTGTGTAAAAATACTTTCAACTTATTCATTCCCTAATGATTTTAAAACTTTGTAAGATAGTTATAATTATCAAAAGTTATATTACAAAATTAATTGATGATGTTCAAATGTTTATGTTGTTTGACTTTAAATGTAGAGTATTTGAAGAATATCCAAAATACTAGATTTTTATATTTGTTAAGTATACCTTTACCTAGTAAATAGTATTATAAGCTATGATTATTTCATTTGGCTTATCAAAGAGCCTTTGAATAATTGCGTAGTTATAGATACACATCTTAAGGCTCCAGAATATATGCAAAAACATGAACATGTAAAAATATAGTGAATTGTCTGGGATAAAACATCTGGGAAAATGTACACAGTATTGTTCCAACAGGTGAATGATAAGTGAATAAGTCTTTCACTGTTTATAAATGCTCAACAGTGTGTGAGCTTAACATATAGCTTCAAGATATCCAGTAACCTGTATACCATAGTGCATATGCATGGTTTTAGGCAGAAGGAACTAAAGGTGATGTATTACTGTTTGTATGTTAACATAGCTAATCTGAAACAATGTTAAATTGGATATTAGCTATTTTGATACAATATTTAAAAAAAAGTAGCAATTATGTTTGAAAATGCAGATTTTTGGAAAGTATGTGTTAAAAAAAACAATTATATATTGGCTTGTGTGACCTCTGATGTTATATTTATATTCCTAATTTACCAGGTAGAAGGTATATTCTTATTGATTTTTATGTATTTATGCTTTCACATTATACATTTCAAGTGCAACAGTACTTTTTTTAGCCTTATAATGGCAATGACACAGTAACTTATAAATAACAAAGGAAAAAATAGTATTAGGTCGTCAACAAATTAATTTTGCTTTTTGGAATACTTTCATTAACCACCTCCCAAAAAACGTACATCATGTATAATAGTTAAACAAACCACCTAAACATCACATTAGTGTAGCCTATTTAATGTGTAAAGTTTAGTGTACTCTAATCCCTTATAGTGATGGCACATGACGAGATACACATTCGGCATGTAATGCTGTTTGAATACAAGAAGAGAAACAATGCCTCTGTAGCCACAAAGAATATCAAAGAAGTTTATGGAAATGTTTTGAACATTTGTAATTGTCAAAGATGGTTTAGCAAATTTTGTCAGTTGACTTTAGCCTTAAAAACTGTGATGGCAAGGGCCAACATGTTGGAATTGATATTGATGCTCTGAAGACACTTGTTGAGTCTAACCCAAGGCAACA